CCAGCAATCTCCCGAGCAGCTGCGCCTGGCTGGCCAGGTACCCCACCACGAGCAGCCACAGGCCTCGCGGCCGCGAGCCGCGCCGCGCGGGCATTCCCCGGCCCGCGGCGAAGGACAGGACGCCAGCGCCCCTGGCAGTCGATGCGCGGGCCAGCCTTCGGTCGGGCATGTCCCCCTGCAGGCGGACTTTGAGCGAAACATTATACAGGTACCCCAAAGAGTGCTCCAGGAGTGTTCAAAAATGATTGAACACATCGTCCCCAGACTATTTCTTTACTATTTTTGAATACTCCTCCTGTGGAGGGACAGGCCCGACTCAAGGCCAGCCCGCGGAATGGCCAGCCGAGCGGCGCACGGCCTCGCGCGGCGCAGCGCCGCCGAGGCCTCCCGAGACAGGGCCCTCTTCACACCCCCTCGCAGGGCCGAGCCTCGGGGTGCCCTCGGGCGGCTGTGCCTCGCCGAGAACGTTCCAGGGGTGCCCATGATGGGTTCGTGTTCCACCACCGCCATAATAAGCTGGAGGGGAGGAGGAGGGGGAGGACGAAGAGGAGGAGAAAGAAGAGGAGGACGAAGAGGAGGACGAAGAGGAGGGGAAGGAGGAGGAGAAGGACGACCCCCTCCCCCTCCAATTTATGGTGGTGGTAGTGGTGGAAAATAGGGTCATCAGCCCAGATCGTCCGGAAAGGGCGCTGGAGGCTCCGACGACCAAACCTCCTGGCATCGTGGAAACAAAACGGAGGAAGGTACTTAGCATTTTTGCCAGCCTCTCTTCACCCTCACCGGGGCCCCAGAAGCGTGAACAAGGTGACCCATAGGACAACAGAACTGCATCATCATACACTTCTGGAGGGAGGTCCGCACGGACTGCTTTTGAGCAGGGACCGACCGTCCCGGCACTCCTATCGGCCCACCACGACATGTTCTCAGAACCCAAGAACGTCCCAAGAACAGAAACAAAGTTCTTGGAACAGAAGCCCGATGTGCTAAGACAAGATAACATCGGCCAGAAATGTTCTAATTAGGAGGAAAACAAACCTCCCTCGCTTTTGACCACCCTCGCTTCCAAGAGATACCAAACGATGCCAAATTGCAGCCTGTACTGGTCAGGCCGCTTGACGAGGAGGCGCGTGGTATGGCTTGGTTTTGCCTGGAAGCGAAAGCGGGGTAGGTAATTCACGCTCTGATAACAGTTCGCAGAAGCCACAAAAAGGTTCTTAGAACACTCTTCGGTGGGCCTGTAGGCACGCCGGGGCGCTTCGCCACAGCTTTGTTGCTTGGATCGGCGCTGGACCCCGCTGGAGGGGGCCTCAGGCGCCGCCCGCGGCGCGCTCCAGGCGCGGGGGGGGGGGGGCGGGGGCGGGGGCGGGGTCGGTCCGGCTGTCGTCCAAGAAGCTTCGGCTCTATCATCTTGCAGCGCGGAGAGCGCTTAGCACCGAGGCCACATCCCACCATAGCAGAGTGGTGGGCCGCGCATAACAGCAAAAATCGTCCACGTCTTGAGTCAGTTACTGCACCTCATTCCTTGGTCGGTCCGGCTCCCATCCAAGAAGGCCGCGCGGACCTCCGCACGTGGAAGCTTGTGCGGTGTTCGTTCTTTTTGATTCTCTGCGACCGACGCCACCCGACCCCCAGAAGCCCTGCGCCCATCCGGCCTGAACCGTGCTGCCTCGCCTCGAGTCGCGTTGGGGGGGAGGGGTCGGGAGGATACAGGGCATGAGCAATAGCATTCCAATGCAACGGGCGATACCTGCGGCCGCATGCGTCCAGCGAAGGGGAAGCGTGTTGTCGCCGCGAGGCAGGGGCCGCCAATCCAACACCGCGTAAACTTCCTATGAAACAAATTGGTCCGTGCAGCCTACTTCGAGGCCCTCTTAGGGCCATGCCATCCTGGTTCCATGGGAACTTTCAGAGAAGCAACATGCACCCTGCAGCCTACTTCGTGGCCCTCTTGGGGCCCTCTTAGAGCCCTGTCGAGGCCATCGGGGGGACTCCAGGAGCCCTCTTGCTCTCGGTGTGGGACCATTTCAAGTGCTTAGGCAGTGCGACGAGCACTTGGGAGGGATCAAGGGCATGAGCAATGTCGGAGGTTTCTGGCAATTGTCGAGTGAAGATTGAATTCCGCACGGGGCTCACTGTTGCGATCCGTTGCTGATACGGGGACTTCAAGACTGATCGCTCCCTGTGCCCACAGCAGCTTCGGGAGGTTTCGGGACCGCGGCAAGTTCCGTGTTGCGCTCCACTGCGGATGCGGACGTCAGCGCGAATTCCGTTGCGTCCCGTTCGTAATCGTGAGCGCTCTTATCTTCTCGGCGTCTCGACATTGGGCGGAAATGGGGGGGAAGAGGGAGCTCGGGGCCTCTGCCTAGAGCGACTGTGTGCAGCAGTGCGTCCTGTCTGGGGGGGGACTCCACCTGCCCGGAGCAGGCCCCCCAAAACAGCCAACGTCCACGCCGTGGGGGGGGGAGGTCGAGTATGCTTGGGCAGGTTCTGTGCCAGAAAAAAACTCGAAACAAAATCCACCTGTAGGGGGACATGCCCGACCTAAGCCTGCGTTTTGAAAGAGCGGCCTGCTCAGGAGCAGCCGCGCCCAGGCCGCCCTGGGCCGCAGGACTGGACGTCTGGGCGGCCCAGCTGGGCTGGGTGGCCCGCGGGCCCAGGATACCTGTGCAAGCCTCGCCCAAGACCTCCCGACTCCTTCCCTGGCGGACATCGCCCTGGCCTGGGAACCGTTCCTGATGGCCCCAGCGCCCGACAACGGTACCGGTAGAGGCCGAGGCCGACGAACATTGACCAGGGCGGGCGACAAAATATCACTGGAGATCCGGGACCCCCCGAGGAGGCACTGGTAGAAGAAGAAGGAGAAAAAAACAACAACAACAAAAAAGAGAAAAGCAAACAAACAAAACGGCATAAACATAAGCTGTGGACGCTCCGCGCGGATGTCTTGAATCTGCGCTGGGCCGCCCCCCCCACGGCGCGCGGAGCGCGCACAAGGGGCGGCGCCGCTCGGGGGGGCGGCGGCCAGTCGCCGCTCCAAAAAATCCGCGCGGAGGGCCACCAGCTCATGCTCGTGCCGTTTCTTCCCCGCCCGCTGGAGGTCTGGGCCCCCTCCGCCGGTGCCGGGCCGCGGGGGGCCCTGGAGCTGCGCGGCAGCGGTCCGAGGTCCCGGGGCGGCCCGCGCTGCCGGGGCGGCCGGCGAAGGTGTTTGCGGGAAGGGCCGCGGCAGAGGGGGGGGCTCCTCGCAAGGGGGGGGGGGGGGGCACGTGGGCCAGGATGGGGCTCCTCTGACCGCCAGGCTGGGCACCGATGGTCCTCTGCCAGGGTGGCGCAGAGGCAGAGCCACTGAGAATGGCACTGGCCGGGGCCACGTTCCTTAGGTTCCTCCACCTCCTCCTCGCGGAATACCATGCAGATGCAAAAGCGCCCTCCTCCTCCTCGCGGATAAAACATGCCGATACAGAGGCCCGCGAGACAGGGAGAGAAAGAGAGAGAGAGAGAGCGCGCGAGAGAGAGAGAGACACAGAGAAAGAGCCCACCTTGCCAACAAAATCCCTTGTCGATGCGCGGGCAAGGGATATGTATATATATATATATATATAAGTATATATATATGTGCACATAGAGAGAGTAGCATAAACATAGAAAGAGCGAGAAACAAAACACAGTGTGAGGGCGAGGGAGAGAGGCAAAGAGAGATATAGAGAGAGATAGACATAAAGAAAGAAAGAACTAAAGAAATAAAGAAAGAACGAAAGAAAGAAAGAAAGAGAGAGAGATAGAGACACACACACACACATTGTCCCACGTCCCCCACTCCTCACTGAGAAAGACCATGCCGATACAGAGACAGGCACGAGCGAGCGAGAGGAAGAGGGAGAGAAACAGAGAGAGAACACACAACCAACAGCGAAAGAGACCGTGTGTGCGAGAGAAAAGGAACACCAGTGTGCGAGAGAAAGAAAACAACAAAAAGCGGAAGAGATCGCCGCAGCAGGCAAAAAGGCAGCGCGGGGACGCAGGCGCACCTGCCCCGCTGGCGAGGCACCCGAGCCGCACCAGAGGGGGGACACATGCGCTGGATACACATGCGGCTGACAAAGCAAATCCAGCTCTCGCCCAGGCCGGCCACAACTCCATGGTGTCACACATGCAGGCGCCACCGACGTGGTGGGCGTCACGCCTGGCGGTGGCTGCGAGCTCGCCCCCTTTCTCCTCTTCTCACTCTTCTCATCCTCTTCTCCCTCGCCTCCCCCACTTCTTATCTTCCTGCTCCTCCTCCTCATCATCATCATCATCATCATCATCAGCATCATCCGATTCCTTCTCCTTAATCTTCCTCCTGATCCGTCTCCTCCGCGTGGTCCTCCTCCTTCTCCTCCCCCTCCTCCTTCTCCTCCTACTTCCCTTCTCCCTCCTCTTCTTGTCCATCATCATTGTCCTCATTACGCTTTGTCTTCCTCCTCGGCCTCCTCCTCCTCTCCATCCTCATCCTTATCTTCCTCCTACTCCTCCTCATTATCGTTCCCCCAGCCGACCCATACTCATCATCCTCATTCCGCCTCGCACTCCTTCCTCCTCCTCATCCTTTTTTAATCAATGTCCTCCTCCCTCCGCCTCCTCCCGCCTCCTTCCTCCCTTCCTCCCCTCTAAGAACCCCCAGAACGTCGCTGCACTGCTGCACTCACGACCCCTCCCCCCCTAGAATGCCATGGAACTCCCTCCCTGACTTCTCTCTCCATCCATCCATCCGTCCATCCATCCATCCATCTATCCATCCGTCAATCCATCCATCCATGCATCCATCCATCCTACTCCTCCTCATTCTCCTCCTCCTCCTCCTCCACCTCCTCCTCCTCCTCCTCCTCCTCATCATCATCATCATCATCACCACACCACCACCACCACCACCATCATCATCATCATCATCATCATCATCAGCATCATCATCATCATCATCATCATCATCACCATCATCATCATCAGCATCATTATCATCCTCATCCTCAACCTCTTCCTCCTCCTCCTCCTCATCAGCATCATAATCATCCGCCTCGATGCTCCTC